TTTTAAGACACGGTAATTGACAAATATCAAATTGATACAAAAACACACCATAAATATATATCTTTTTCAGATAATATGACATTGTTAGGGTATTTGCTCAATCTTGTGTACCTGAACACATTCCCAAAATATTTATTAATTTGTGGGTGGTAGAATACTAATTTTGCTAAGAAAATATCCAACTTGTTGAATTGTATTAACATAAGAGATACCACAGATGGGTCAGAAGGGAAGGTATTACTCACTAGAGGCCTAGTCTAGTGCCTGTTGAAGTAAATGGGTCTGTTTGCAGTGATCTAATAAGAGTTAGATTATGCCTTCAGTTGTTTTCTCTGATTTTGAGAGAAGGCTAGGCTCAAAACTAATGTAGTTCCACCATTTGTCTGGGTTTGGACAGTTCAATTAGCTTTCCCAGTTATAGTAAACATTTCAGTTACAAATTTCCTTCTGATGTACTAAAAGGAATATATAATAGAATTGCCTATTAATCTCCTCCCCCACTGTTACGGGCAAAATTGTTAATTCATACATAAATCAAGTCAGACTGAGATTGCAATTTAGTTAATAGAGACTGGAATACATGTCTCTTTAGTTTCCAATTGTACATGCTTCGGGTGTGACATGTGGCAGCAATTCCTGCTTTTTTATATGCAAATATGGCTGGCTCTCATCCAACCTCTCTCAAAGGAACTAAGAAAACAAGGTCACTGTTCTCTAGTCCTTTCTGCCCTTAGTGTGTGATGAGCAGAGCAGGAATTTACCCACATGACCTTCAGTTAATATGAATGAAAGGAACAAAGAGAACATATTGAACAAAAACCACCCACATAAACAAATCCTTCTAACACCAGTGATAAGGGAGTGTTGCTCTGTTGTTTTATTTGAGAGGTGAATATATACAAAAATTACATTTTAGAAAATATTTTTCAATTTTAGGAAACAATGGAGTTGTTCAGCGCTAGGATTCTTGGTACCCCCCACATCTCAGTTCTTTATTCATAACATGCAGCAAGCAGACTGCTTGCTTAACTGTTTTACATGAAAACTGTGTAATGCTTCTTTTGCAAGTAAAGAACCTACACATAAAATACTGTCACTTACAGAGAAGGTTACTCACCCTGTGCAGTAACTGAGGTTCTTCAAGTTGTCTCTCTCTATGGGTGCCATAAGTGCCGACTCCATGGGTGCTCTGGGGCTGGAGCATCCATGGGAAAAAAATGGTGGGTCTGAGCACCCACCAGCAGCCCCCTACCAGAACCTCCCTCTCCTCACAATGCCTCCTGCCCGCCCCCCCCCCATCCCCACAGGCTCCACAGATCAGCGCCTCCCCATCCTTCCCAGTGCCTACCATGGATCAGCTGTTTTGTGGTGTCAGGAGGCGTGGGGGAGAGGGGAGGAGTGAGGGAGCAGTGTGCACGGGGGAGGGGGCAGAACTGGGCAGGGAAGGAGCGGGGTGGGGTAGAGCAGGGGTGGGGCCTTGGGAGAAAGGGTTGAGTGGAGGCAGGGGTTGAGCGGAGCACTCCCCCCAGAAGATTAGAAACTCAGCACCTATTATGGGTGCTCCACTTGTAGGTGCAGCAGCACACCCTGTGCCTGCAGTCAGAGATCATCAGCAGTGCCCATTGGACCACACATTAGCACCTCTCCCCTCTCATGCTCTGCATGGGACATATAGAGCTCTGTGGTCCGACTGCTCCCATTTCCTTCTCTGCTGCAGAATGTATGTGTGACGCATGGTGCTCTGTACCTCAGTGGAACACCCAGCACCCCCATGTTCATCCTTGTAAAATGATTGTGTGGTATCCAATGCAAAATTTGTCATGTCGGGTGTCTTCGGAAGGCTCATGATGTACTGAGCATGGTTGTTATAGTAATTGTTACAGTAATGTTATAGGTTATAATTTAATGTATATAGTTACGAGGCTGAAAATGTATCCTCATGGCTTAAAGCAAGCCCAAACAAAAACTCTCCAAGAGCAGAGCGGCAGTTCACACCTCATCAGGGCAGGTATGGGACAAACCTAGCCTCACGGGAACAAAGGGTTCTGCCCTAGGCAGTAACAAAAGGATCTGTTAGACTCTGGAGGGAGTCACCCCCATTCCTTTGGTCAGTTTGAGACTGCAACGAGGTAATGCTCACCTGACTCTGAAGGTGGGGGGACAAAGCCAAGAGGGAAGAAAGAACATGATAAAAGGGAGAGACATTTGCCATTCTCTCTCTCTCTTTCACCTACATCTACAGACACCACACCAAGCGACTGAAGCACTGATCAAAGGGGAGAGCCTGGCTGAAGAGCAACCAGCCAGCCTGTGGTGAGAAGCATCTAAGTTTGTAAGGACATTACAATCAAGATCAGCTTAGAATACATTTTGCTTTTATTTCATTTGACCAAATCTGACTTATGTTTTGACTTATAATCACTTAAAATCTATCTTTATAGTTAATAAATGTGTTTGTTTTTTCTACCTGAAGCAGTGCGTTTGGTTTGAAACAGGTCAGAGGCTCCCCTTTGGATAACAAGCCTGGTACATATCAATTTCTTTGTTAAATTGACGAACTCATATAAGCTCGCGGTGTCCAGTGGGCATAACTGCAAGATGGAGGTTCCTAGGGTTGTGTCTGGGACTGGAGATATTGGCTAGTAGTGTCATTTGGTTGCAAGTAACTGGGAGCAGCTTACATGCCAGATGCTGTGTGTGAACAGCCCAGGAGTGGGGGTTCTCACAGCAGAGCAGGGTAAGACGGTTCCCAGAGTCAAGGATTGGAATGACCTAGCAGACCACTGGTCCAGATAACACTAGACAGGAACGTCACAGTATGTTTGTTTAACTCTGAAGCAGAGGGGAAGAGGAAGGGTAGTGGAGCACCCATAGGGACACACATCTCAAAGAACTTCAGTTACTGCACAGGGTGAGTAACCTTTGTCTTCGCATTGTGTCCATATCTCAGGAATAGTCAATTATTTTTTGTCAAGGTCTACATTTCTTGGTCAAAGGTATAGTCAAGGTCCAGCCTCCAGAGAAAATAATAATAATAATAAAAAATAATAGTAAGTAAATGAAAAGATTTCAGGGTCCGTTCAAAGGGGTCTGGCGGTCTGGATTTGGCCCACGGTCCACCTATTGACTATCTCTTATGGGTGCTTCACTTTTAGGTAATTAGAAAGCAGTGCCCCTAATTGGAAGGCTGGGGTTTCGGAGTGACACTGACTGTCTATAATAGGACAGCATATCCTAGGAGAGTTTCCGTTGTGACGTTGTGTGTAATAGCTTAGTGCTGGACAAAAGTGTCAGACGATGCCCATGTAGCTGTTTTGCAAATGTCATCAATGGGGACATTATTGAGAAAGGCTATCAAGCTGGATAATGAGGGTGTGGAAAGGACAGTTACCTGTTCTGTAACTGGCGTTCTTTGAGATGTGTTGCTCCTGTCTATTCCACAGTAGGTGTGCCTGCTCGCCACAGGCACCGGTGCCAGAAGTTTTTCCCTTAGCAGTACCCGTACCGGGGGAGCACTGTGGCGACCCCTGGAGTGGCACCTGTATATCACACTATAAGGGGTGCTACGGGCTCCCTCTACCCCCACAACTCCGACAGAGGGGAAGGAGGGCAGGGTGTGGAATAGACAGGAGCAACACATCTCGAAGAATGCCAGTTACGGAAGAGGTAACTGTCCTTTCTTCTTCGAGTGATTGCTCCTGTGTATTCCACAGTAGGTGATTCCAAGCAATATCTGTTGGAGATGGGTAGGAGTTCATGATGGTTCGGGATGAAGTACCGCCCTGCCAAACCCAGCGTCATCCCTAGACTGGGAGACGATCGCGTAATGCGAAGTAAATGTGTGAACTGAGGCCCACGTGGCCGCCCTACAAATGTCCTGGATGGGGACATGGGCGATGTAGGCAGCTGATGAGACCTGAGCCCTCATAGAGTGTGCTCTTACAATCGGTGGCAGCGGAGTCCCTGCCAAGTCATAACACGTGCGTATGCACGAGGTGATCCAGTGGGAAAGCCGCTGGGTGGAGATGGGTTGCCCCTTAGCCCACTCGGCCGAGGCAATAAAGAGTTGAGAGGATTTCCGGAATGGCTTAGTCCAATCCAGATAAAAAGCCAATGCCCTACGCATAGCGAGCGTGTGGAGGCGGCGTTCCTCGTTAGAGGAGTGGGGCTTAGGACAGAGCATGGGGAGGAAGATGATCTGCTCCATATGGAAGGTGGAGACCACCTTCGGGAGGAACGTCGGGTGTGAGCAGAGCTGGACTTTATCCCTATGGAAAACGTATGGGGGGTTCTGAGGTTAAGGACCTCAGGGGAGATATCGTGGGCTATACAAAACTCCCATAGGTTCAGGGCTTCCCGGCAGAGGGCTAGGGAGCGAGTCCCACCTTGCCTGTTGATATAGTACATGGCAGTGGTGCTGTCCGTGAGGACTCTGACCACCTTGCCACGGAGGTGCGTGAGGAACGCCACGTACGCCAACCAAACCGCCCTGAGCTCCTGGATGTTTATGTGAAGGGGCAAGTCCGGGGCCGACCACGTTCCCTGGGTTTGCACGTCCCCCGTGTGGGCTCCCCAGCCCAGGTCCGAAGCATTGGACATCAGGTCTATGGACGGGTTGGCCTCGCTGAAGGGAACCCCTTGCAACATATTGCTTGGGCAGGACCAGCATAGAAGGGAAGTGAGTATCAGAGATGGGACCGTGAGAACTTTGTCCAGACTGTCCCGAGATTGGGAGAAATGGGAGGCCAGCCATAATTGGAGGGGCCTCATACGGAGCCTGGCATGGCAGACCACGCAAGTGCACACTACCATGTGTCCCAGAATCCGAAGACATGCCCTCACCGTGGTCACCGGGAAGGCCGTGACCAAGGCGATGAGATCCCTTAGGATCTCGAACCTGTCCAGGAGGAGAGAGGCTGTGGCCCTGGAGGAATCCAGCAGGGTCCCAATGAACTCTATGCGCTGAATGGGCACTAATGTTTATTTGGTCTTGTTCACGACCAGGCCTAGATCGGCGCATGTCGAGAGGAGCAGCTCTATGTGGGACTCCATTTCGAAACGGGACTTCCCATTGAGGAGCCAGTCATCCAGGTAAGGGAAGATTTGTACGCCTTCCCGCTTGAGGTAGGCCGCAACCATAGACATACATTTCGTGAAAACCCTGGGTGCCGTGGATAGGTCAAAAGGGAGGACCATGAAGTGGTAGTGGTCCATTCCCACCATTAATTGGAGGAAGTGTCTGTGTCTCTCGAAAATATAGACATGAAAGTACGCGTCCTGGAGATCCAGGGCCACGTACCAGTCCCCTGGGTCCAGGGAGGGGATAATAGAGGCCAGGGACACCATGCAGAACTTGGAACGGGTTAGAAACCTGGTCAGGTCGCGCAGGTCCAGAATAGGCATGAGACCCCCTTTCGCCTTCGGGATCAGGAAGTACCGGGAGTAGAACCCTTCCAGTGCCCCTAGATGGAGCAACCGGTCCACCTCCTGATGCAGGAGGCGGACATGTTCCAGGTCCCCCAGGGCCATCGTGGATGGCAGGTGATTTGGCGGGGGTGAGGTGAACTGCAACACGTAGTCCTTGGAGATAATACTGAGGACCCATTGGTCCGAAGTTATGCAGGACCACGCCCTGAGGAAGGCAAACAAACAATCGGTTGCAGAACACAAACTTTATTAAATCGGGGGGTCTCCCTGGCAACAGGCCCGGTGCCCCCCTGCAGATAGTCAAAACCGCCTCTTCCCTTGCCTCTTGCCCTTAGAGGGACCAGGCTGCGGGGCAGAGCAGGACTGCCTCTGAGACCGACACTTCTGGTCTCTGGGCCTTTTGTCCGGGGGCTCATATCTGCCCCTTGCAGGCTGAGCTGCCAGAAGCAATTTGGCCTTGTCCTTAGCCGGAGGAACATAGAGGCCCAAGGTCTGCAAGGTGGTGTGGGAATCTTTCATCCCATGCAGCCTGACGTCTGTCTGGTCTGCAAAGAGCTCCTTGCCATCGAACGGGAGGTCCTGCATCAGTGATTGTGCCTCCGTCGACAGCCCGGACAACAAGAGCCACGACGCCCTGCGCATGGTGATCGCGGAAGCCATCGAGCAGGCCGCCGTGTCTGCCACATCAGACGCCGCTTGCAGGGCCACTTTTGCTGCTGACAACCCCTCTTCCACCAGGGCCTTGAAGTCCTTCCTGTCCCGGTCTGGGAGGAGGGGCTCAAATTTAGGCAGGGACTAGGGTGACCAGATCACCAAAGACAAATATCGGGACG